CGTGTGGGATGTGCGCGACGCAGATGCAGAAGAGGAAATGTTTGTCGGAGAGTTACGGATGTTCTTGCGTGTAGGTTGCGCGCATACAGCAAAAATATAAGGCATTTTAGTGGCTTGACAACGCAGAGTCTGGCGTCATCGTCGGACCTCTGTGTCTTCCCGTATGCAACGTGTTGCGCGCCCTACGTGAAGAAGTTGGACGTCGCGGCAAAGAAGTATAGCTGTCAATCCACAACAACAGTTCCGGCTATAAAGACGACGACGTGTTGTCCTCCAGGTAAGATAGCGTTAGAATGAGTATTATCAAGACCGGAGGGTTAAAATGTGTTGCGAAGCAGCAGGTGTCGCGCGACATGGTACGTACACCATTGTCAAATTACGATCACGTGGATTCCTTTAAACGAAAAGACAGTGACGAAAAGCGTTAAGGGGCAAATAGCTGCCAATAACAGCTGCTACGGCCCGAAAACCGGGTCGTCGAAGGCCTTTGCACACCTAGAGGGCGGGAAGCGTGAAAATTTGCAATTTCCCGTGGTCACCTCCAGAATCGCGTTGGCTGTTTCTCGGCGATTTCTGGTCCAAAATCGATGATCAAAAGACCAAAACAAGTTGCAGTTGAGTGAGGATTTCAGAAATGAGGTCAGAATCGGGAAATGTTAGTGTATTCACAAACATGGGACTAAAACGATTTTTCGCAACAATCGAAACCGCGGGGTCCCTCTTCCCACAGTCTTTTAGCAATTTGCCGGAGATGAAAGTCCCTCCCAGATAGCCTTTTTTTGGCTATTGTGTGCCCCCTTTAAAGGGATACCCAAGGTTTTGGAGGCAAATATATAGTTATGGATTACCGGCAGTACAAATGACGCGCGATTTTTGTGCGGCAATGGGGCGCCATTGCCGCACAGAATTCGGACACCTTTCCCTCTTCTGGCGTCCCCATCCCACGCAATGGCTTGCCACTATGGCCTAATGGATAGCATCCAGGCCTACAAACAGGGGGTCCCGGGTTCGACCTCCGCCCGCGGCACGGTTTTTGCTTTTTGAGCCCCGAAAAGGTTGGGCATCCCTTTAAAAGAATCTAAATCACATTTTTTCAGATGGCAACGGGCTCTGGAACGACTGGGGCTCGTGGGCGAGCTGCTCGGCGACGTGCGGGCTTTGTGGAACTCAATCGCGAACGAGAACCTGTGCATCTGCAGCCTATGGGTGTCCGTGCAGGTTTCTATGATTTTCAGGCGCGTAATCTCAATCACCAAATTTAGTGGCACCTCCACCCAGTCCCAAAAGTGCGGAAATCCAGCGTGTACCGGTACTGCTTGTTGTGGGGCGACGTACCAGGCTGTCAGTTATGACGGAACGCTCTTTTGCCAGGAGACACAGGTATGGATATAGCGTCATTGGGACGTGTAACGTAGCTGCTAATTACTATCGTAACGTTGTAAGTCGAGACGGAGACGTAATTTTGATATCGTACCTTACGTAATTTTCAGCCAGCACCTGCCGTCGGTACTTGGCAAGCCTGGTTCACCACGGCAACTTGCAATGACACTTGTGGAATGTGTGGCAGAGAGATGCAGGCGAGATATTGTTGGCCGCCTGGCACGACTTGCACGTAAGTTTTCAACATTGATTTTTGAAGGTATCTTGCCCAAATTAATAATTCAATGACAAATTATTAAGTTTTCGATGAGCAGAATTTAATTTTATGCAAAACGAAGCTCGACGCTTGCTTTTTCAATTAATGTCGTATTTTACCAAGAGCTATTGAATTTAATAGAATCAAAGGTATCTACGACGACCTCGATTTCAGTGGCCCCTTCACGCAAGAAGTCCCTTGCAACGATACGCTTTGCGTGTTCCCGAGAAGCACCTGTTGCTCACCGTTTGTAAAGAAGTTGAGCACGGCCAAGAAAATGTACACTTGCCAATGAACGACTAGAGATAAATTGTTAATAAAAATGCATGAATAATAATAATAAAAGTTGTTTACTCCTTTTCGATTTGCTCAAACAATATATTTGTAAAACCCTCATGCGTAAATCGATCATAGCATCTTTTTACAAATATTGCATACATTTGTAATTTAATATAGATATAATATATCTATAAAATACAATAAGATTCAATGTATTCAATAAGATTTAAAGAATTTACATTATTTAGTTTTAATTTACTTATTTTGTCAATTTCGGAAATGAAAAAAGCCTATTTAAAAAAGTCATAGGTTTTAATTCCCTTTCGTTTAGTATTTTGGGGCTTTCTATTACGTGCATTATAATGCGTTTTTACCACTATCGATCTTATTATAAACTATAAATTTTAGTTTTGCAATTTCTGTTTTCGTTTCTATTCATGTAGCCTTTGGCGTCATATCGGTTTGACAATTAGGCGTACTTTAAGGTTCTTATGAAACTTCTTCACGCTTTCGACGTTTTGCACCAAAAACCAAAAAAGTACACGCGCTACATACCAACAATGCTACCCCACAAAAGCCTCCCATTTCCGCGTGGCCCAGCTGTCGAAAGCCCACCAAATCGCCGTGGGATTGCATCGTACAGCCGATTGTTGCCGCGCGTGTCGCCAAATATCTGACTATGCCAAAACGTGCTCCGATGGATCAGCTGCCCCCTCGGGGAACAAAATTGGTTTTTCGCCGGGGTATAACTAGGCGCCGACATGGCATAGTCTACCCCGATTGGCATCCATATTTTGCCGAGCCTGGCTAGTCATGCTACTGTATTTGGTGTGTGGTTTTGTGGCGTTTAAGGTAAGTTTAAATTTTTTTAACGCTTTTGTCATAAAAGTAAAAATACTAAGCGCTGCGAATTTCCAAGATGATTGCAATGATGAATTTAGAGTGGTCGAAAACCATATCCGAGAAAATTAATTAACTAAAAAAATTGTACTAAAAAATAATTTCCAATTTTTCTAAGAATACATCGTTTCTTAGAAGATAACGAGCTACTAATTTTACAAAATTTTAACGACGTTTATATAGTTCATTTTCGATTCTTTGCATACAATTCTAATTTTAGTGTTGTTTCACTTTTTTAAAAACAGACTCTTTTGTTTTTTAGGCAGTCTCAGCACAATGTACCGCATGTGCTGATCGTGCTCCACAGGGGATCTGGGGAGAATGGACTTCGACCGGGAGCATCACATATGAAAGTGTTGGAAAGAACTTAACATGTGGCATGTGTGCTACCGTACCGCAGAAGCGGACCTGTTTGACGGCTCCAGATTGCCCTTGCAGGCAAGTTTCTTTCTCTTCTCTCTTTCTCTCTCTCTCGCTCGTCTCTCTCTCTCGCTCGTCTCTATCTCTCTATCTCTTAACCAAAATACTCATTTTAGTGGCCCTTCCACCCAAGTTGGCGCTACATCGAATGAAATCTGCTCCTTCGCTGACCAGACCTGTTGTCCTCCAAATAAGATGACGGTCGACCTGAAGCTCAAGCGCTATGTGTGCAAATCACCGAATTCATCGCCTGCTCCACAGAACGTCACCTGCTGCTCACCGGGTGCGTTTCTCTCTCAAGTTCCCTCGCGCTCCTTCTCTCTCTCTCTCTCTCTCTCTCTCGCTCTCTAAAAAAAGGTTCGCTCTCTAAAAAGGCTCTCTCTCTCTAAAAAGGCAGAGCTTAAATTAACTTATAGCCGCCGGTCTCTGGAATCCGTGGTCCGTTTGGTCGGGATGCAATGGGGGTACCTGCGGTGGATGCGGAACTCGATGGAGGACCAGGACCTGTGCCTCGGAACCTTATGGATGTCCCTGCACGTGAGTTTGCTTCTCTCTCACTCTCACCTCTCTCTCACTCCTCTCTCTCTCTCTCCTCTCTCTCCCTATCTCTTTCGCTCTCTCTCTCTCTCTCTCTCTCTCTCTCTCTCTCTCTCTCTCTCTCTTACTCTCTCTCTCTCTCGCTCTCACTCTCACTCTCACGGTCTCCTTCTGCCTTCCGCCGCAAGAAAATTTTATTACTCACTTATTTTTCAGTGGAAAAGCTATCGAGGTCGGCTTCTGCGACTCGATATGCCCATTTCCGGGTCCAACTTGCTGCTCCGGATTTATCAAGTCGATTGATGAAACTTTGAAGAAAGCCTACTGTAAAGCTGTTGCTGTTTAGGTTTTGTGAAAATAAACTGTTTGTATAGTTGGTTGTCGCGCTCAAATGGCAGAAAAATGCTCGAATAACAAAAAGAAATGCTTGAATAGAAAGGACCAAAAACGCGTCCTCAAGATTTCCCGTATTTTTTACTCAAAAACTCGCGGTTTGCACCGAAACCTCATTAGCGCGCTACGGTAAGTGCGGTTTTGAAAACCGATTCGCATGCCCGATTCGCTGTTCATCCATCCGTCGTTTTTTAAGCTTTTGTGAGCCTTTTAAGCCGCCCAAAGGTGCATTCATCGACACAAACCCTAACGCGGAACGTGTCGACGCACCGTGTCCAATTTAGCGGGAGAAAAGCCTAAAACTCGAAAAACCTTCCCTAATCCGTAAATAACGATGAGTCATGGGGGCATGTATAAAGGTTCAGGTAAGGGGAGTTTCACTTCCGGTTGCGGGCCTAAAATGATACAATATTTGATTGTTGTGTTGTCCGGATGCGGTTTGACTACGGTACGCTCCGATTGCACGTCGTGTCCGGATGCGACCCCGGCCGGGACCTGCCTGCTTTCGCCGGAAGCTTGTGGCGATGTTTTCACGTATTCGGACCCGGCTTTTGCCTATAAAGCGGATGTAAATGGGTGCAAGGTACGCTGATTAAGAAACTACAGCTCTTTGAAGGAGGTTTAAAAAATTAAAAACTGTAGCTTGGATTTTCAAATCGGACGGAATACAATTTTTTCAGGACTTTACCTATAATTTAGACTTGCAGTTCTGCAGTAGTTGTAAAGAACGCAGTTATTGTCTTAGACTTAGTTAAACTTTTATTTTCTAGGTAAATTTGCATCATTTTTGCAGATCGTCACCGTCGCTTGCCAGGGCTACGAGCAGCTCTACGTTGGCGTCGAAATTCAAGACAGCGATGCGGCTGTGGTAAGGAAATAATGCCAAATTCGGCTTCAACCAGAATTTTCTGTTTTTTTTTGGCTTTTCAAAAGCAAGAATGAGTAAGAACTTAAGTCCTTTAGCTTTCCTCATCCAGCGGTGCCACCAGCCAATTGCTTTCCGCCTCCGGAACCGTAAAATGTGGGGCCGACGGCAGTTGGCCAGCCGGAGCGACCGGGAAGTTCTCGTGTGAAGGTTGGATCCCAATAAACGCGAAAACCTTGATTTGAAGCCTCAATCCCATATGTGGCGCCAGTTACGACAACTACCACAACTGCAACGCCCCCTACATGTTGTCCTCCGGAGGGTAGGTCGAGGGGTGTCAGGCAGCTTATAGGTTTCTCCCTCTCTCTCTCTCTCTTTCACTGTCTCTCTCTCTCTAGCTCTCGCGCTCTCTCACCGCCCTAAGTCTATCAATTTTACATAGATGATACAACGCTCTATGAGCGAATTTGTAGGTATCTGGGGTGCCTGGACAACTACTGGAAGTGTCGTGCTGGGAGGTCCCTTCCTGAATCTGACGTGCGGAATGTGTGCGACAGTTCCGCAGAACAGGACGTGTCTTTCGGATGCTTATGGGTGTCCTTGCAGGTTGATTTTTGGACATTGGCGGACTTCGCGCTTCTGTCCGTTGCAATGCTAAGCGCACGCAACGCAGACGCAACGCATTGACAACGTCGTTTTTTAATTCTTTGCCTAAATACATAATTTTTGTAGTGGAGCCTTTACTCAAAACAAGTGGATTTCCAATATACTGTGTGAGTTCCCGAATCATGCTTGCTGCGGTGATAATGTGAAGGGGAAGGATACGACGCTCAAGAAATATGTTTGTAAGCCTCCGGTGGCGCCGGAAGCCGTGAAAGCGACTACGTGTTGTCCATCAGGTAAGCGAAACATTCTACTCTCTCTCTCTCTCTCTCTCTCTCTCTCTCTCTCTCTCTCTCTCTCTCTCTCTCTCGCTCTCTCTATCTCTCTTTCTCTCTCTGTCCCGCTCTTTTTCTCTCTCTCTCCCTCTCTCTCTTTCGCTCGCTCTCTCTTGAACGTTTCAAGCCCGGAATTTTCAGGTGGCCTCTGGAACCCATGGAGCGCGTGGACAGCATGTCCCGGATTTTGCGGGATGTGCGCGATACAACAGAGAACGCGGACTTGCGCGTCGAAGCCCTATGGATGTCCATGCAGGTATCTTTAGTATCTTGCAGGTATGATATCTGCCCATTACTATGTAGTTTTATACGGTTTTTCCTTGATTAGCCAGAGTTTAATCTTTTGGCGATCACCTAGCAAGTATTAGATGAAATACGGTATACCGCTATTAACGCGTCATAATTCTTTTGACGCGCGCATGCGATTTTCCTAATGGGCTGCCTCGGAAAATTCGCTTGAAAATCGAAACCCATCTCGAATAGGCACACCTAAAACGTTTCGTTTGTTTGCAATCCTTGTAAATGTCACTGTAAATTTCATTGTTCTTTACAGCGGTCTGGCCAAGGAAGAACAGAAATGCGGCGGGGCTATTTGTCCTTTCCCGGGGCCGACCTGCTGCTCCGGCTACGCAAAGAGGCTCGACCCCGCCAAGCTAATGTATACCTGCCAGTTGTTATAAAAGCGCTGGGGATCACAATTTAAGCGATTTAAGAAAATCTGGTCTGAAATAATAACCTTTGCCTCAAAATGAAGGACTCGAAATCGAATCATATTTTTTATGGTGTTTTATCTTATACGATTTATTTTTTAGGCTTATCTATACATTAACGATTGATTTATTTTAATATAATATGCTCGTAAATACTGCCTTTCTCTCATCATCATCCCCCTGCCGTATGAAGTTCTGCCTCTAGAAACGGATTGCCCCAGCCCCACGTCTCTCCATCTTTGTTTTCAAATCATATTCCATTGCATTTTGTGCCTATCCAAGTTCCTGGTCGTTTTTCTTTTAGATTGCATAAATTGTTTGTCGCCAGACCTCGTCAAAATTGCCAACGGACATTTCGTTTTTAGAATGGGTACATCTGCTATTGGAAATATTATGGCTCTCCCTCTCTTGCCCTCTCGCTCTCTCTCTCTCTTGCCCTCTCGCTCTCTCTCTCTCCCTCTCTCTCTCTTTCTCTCTCTCTCTCTCTCTCTCGTTCTCTCTCTCTCTCTTCCTCTCTCCCTTTCTCTCCAGCTAACCAGATTTAGAACATCATGAAGTTTTCGTCTGGATTTCCGGTGCTCTTTCTTCTAGCGGGTTAGTCTATAGTTTGGAAAATCGACAAAACATACAGGAGCCTGCTTTACTCTAATGCTCACGACCACAATCAGCAGTTATTTGTATTTTGGAGCACTTTTTGGTAATTATGAAAAAGTTCGATCACCCGAATTCTAATTTGTATAGGCACGTTTTCGACACGACAAGCCAGGGCATCCCATGGCAATGCTGATTCCTATATCGAAAAGGCGATAAAATTTCACAAGGAACAAGCCATTTGTGAGTCGGAATTTGATGCATTCACGCCAAAATAAGTATGCTTTTCATAAAATTTAAGGAATCTCATCAACGTCTTAAAATTTGTAATGGGTTTGTTCCGATAGGAAATAGCGTGAAGTTACGCGCCGACAAAACAAATTTTAGTTCGCAACGGGATCTTCAACAGCTTATCACCCGACGAGAACTTTGGCCGTTTCTACAATGTGCTGGCCCTTGAGGTAAGCGCTTCAAGATAACCAAAACACATTTCGACAATTTTTTAGGCAATTTGCCCATCGAAAATCAGGGTCGGCGGACTTGGCGATGGCGGGAAATGGGTAGTGAGATTATAAATAGAGTATTTTAACTTTTTAAGGTCTGCAACCCCTGGAAATTAGCTAAAAACTGCGTCGTCTATTCCCTCGGCCTGAATGACGTGGTGGTATTCGAAGAGGAGTTGCAGAAGATTGCCACAAATAGCTGCAAAATCTATGGATATGACATGGTGCGTAGCTTTTTTACCATCCTTGCTTTAATTACCAATTTTACGGTTGATTTGGATGCTGCAAGCTAAAAAACTCCCAAAGGAGTATACTAGTTTTTAGAAGATTCAAAAACCTTGGACCGTCAGTTTATACAATGCGATCAACGGGGAATTGCGGCAAGGTAATTACAATGTCTCTCTCTCTCTCGCTCTCTCTCTATCTCTCTATCTCTCGCTCCCTCGCCTTTTTTCTCCTTTTTATTCCAACTTTAAGGTCTTGTCACGTCAGCCGGTAACCATAGCTTCTCGAACAGTATCGTTATCGGCGAAGAAGTGGAGGAGCGGGGGAATCACCATATCGATGTGGGTGTATTTTGTGGTTCCGGATTTTCTTGATTTCCCCCAATTACCTTGTGCTTTAGATGTTTTTAATTTTTTGGCTAGACGTCTTCAGGTAAAATTTTAGGTCTTCAAAATCGATATCGAAGGTTCGGAAGCTTCTGTGATGCCGGAATTCTTGAACTCAACGAGACCATGTCAAGTAGGTCAAACGTTCTCCATCTCTCTCGCGCTCTCTCTCCCTCTCTCGCCCCTCTATCTCTCGCTTTCTCCCTATTTCTCTTTCTCGCATTCACTATCTTTCTCATTCTCTCTTTAGCTTTCTATTTCAGATCCTAATCGAAACGCATCAGAATCCACAAGCAACCTTTCGGCTCCTCTCTACCATCAGTGCGGCGGAATATTGGCTAGATTCCTACGAAATCAACCCGGGCGGATTCAAATTCTGTGAATATTCATTCATCCACGAGGGTTGCCTCGCGGAATTTGGCGCTGTGAAATTGGCAAAGTATCTGGCGTTGTGATTTGGTTGTTGTTATGGGTATCGATTAGCCAGAAAAGTACAAATAAATTTTTTGCAATGCTCTAAGGCAGTAACGACATGACTAAACACCCGGAATCAAGGAAAGGATCTCTCAAAAAAGACATCGTGCCAAGAATGGTTTAGTAAAAGTACTATTTTTATTAATTTCAACAGTTTGTGTGGCTTAGACTTAGCCGAAGGGGTCGCGAAAAGGTCGTGGAAGGGCCCTGAAGGTCGAAAAGGCGGTGAATAAGCCGTGAAAACACCCTGCAAAGCTCGAAAAGGCCGTGAAAGGGCCGTCGGATGGTCGAAAGGGCCGTGAAAAGGCCGTCGGATGGTCGAAAGGGCCGTGAAAAGGCCGTCGTATGGTCGAAAGGGCCGTGAAAAGGCCGTCGTATGGTCGAAAGGGCCGTGAAAAGGCCTTCGGATGGTCGAAAGGGCCGTGAAAAGGCCGTCGTATGGTCGAAAGGGCCGTGAAAAGGCCGTCGGATGGTCGAAAGGGCCGTGAAAAGGCCGTCGGATGGTCGAAAGGGCCGTGAAAAGGCCGTCGGATGGTCGAAAGGGCCGTGAAAAGGCCTTCGGATGGTCGAAAGGGCCGTGAAAAGGCCGTCGTATGGTCGAAAGGGCCGTGAAAAGGCCGTCGGATGGTCGAAAGGGCCGTGAAAAGGCCGTCGTATGGTCGAAAGGGCCGTGAAAAGGCCGTCGGATGGTCGAAAGGGCCGTGAAAAAGGCCGTCGGATGGTCGAAAGGGCCGTGAAAAGGCCGTCGGATGGTCGAAAGGGCCGTGAAAAGGCCTTCGGATGGTCGAAAGGGCCGTGAAAAGGCCGTCGTATGGTCGAAAGGGCCGTGAAAAGGCCGTCGGATGGTCGAAAGGGCCGTGAAAAGGCCGTCGGATGGCCGAAAGGGCCGTGAAAAGGCCGTCGTATGGTCGAAAGGGCCGTGAAAAGGCCTTCGGATGGTCGAAAGGGCCGTGAAAAGGCCGTCGTATGGTCGAAAGGGCCGTGAAAAGGCCGTCTGATGGGCCCTGCAAAACTCGAAAGGGATCTTTTTGCATTATTTGCGATCCGTTGCCTAGTTCCGCAAATTTACTAGTTCCAGCATTGCTAGGCAGGTTGTCAAGGACGAACTCCAACTTCTGGGCTTCCAAAAGCTTTCCTAGCACCCCGTCTCTTTCGTTAAATTTCTAATTCAGAAATTTAAGTATAGAAACGTACTTAGTTTTTATCTGAAATGCACGCCGGCCAGTTCATCGTCACGGCGATCGCCATCTTCGGGCTGTTGGCGATCCTGATCGCAGTACCAGTGTAGGAACCAGTTTGGAGAGTATTACACGATTTTTAAGGTATCTGAACACCCTAGAGCATCCGACCGAACTGCTACAGCAGCAAGACCAATTGAGAATGGTCGCTAGCGAGAATAACCAGAAATACGTGGCTTTACAAAAGTTCATCCGGATTGCAAAGAATGCTGTGCTGACGAAGAAGGAGTGGAGCGGTACGGTGGATCTCTCTTTATCTCTCTCTCACTCTCTCTGCCTCTGACACTCTCCCTCTCTCCCTCGCTGTTTTTGTCCCTCTCTCGCCGTCTGGATCGATATGGCAAGCTAGAAAATTTCCTTGCGGAACTTATTGCCTTTCAGATATCGTCTACAGCTACTCACAACAAGCTTACCCCAACGAGACCTCATTCGTATTAGGTACCTCATCTATTCACTCGAAATGGACAGTAGGGAATGCAGCAGTTCAGGTAAAATCTCCTCTCTCTCTCTCAGCTATCTCTATCTCTCTTTTTCTCTCTCACTCTCTCTCTCTCTCTCGCTCTCTCCAATCCTGAGTTTCAGATCATGATGAACATGTTTCTCACCAACATGAGGACCATGACCTGCTACCACTCGACTTGTCGGTTGGCCATTGGCGTCACGGCAATTCTGGGAGCAATTTTGGTGTCCTTGGTGCTTGGTGGGATAACTTCCCTGAATTCCTTAGCACCACAAATTCCAGCCTCTATGGTCGAGGTATATCGCTCCGCCATCAGGATGATCACCGAGCTGGTGATGCCCAAAGTTGACGAGCTCAAGAAGAATCGACACATACTGCTGAAACGGATTATGACGAAGGAGGTGGTGACGCTGGTGCTGACGATGGCGTTGGCTTTTGGCATGTTTTCGGCCGGTAGGTTTATTTTTGATACAAACTGCCCTATCGGACGTAAGGGTCGCGTCGCGTTGCGTCTCGCGCTGTTTGTCGCTCTGCGTGTATTTTTCGGAATCGAAATCATTAATTCCAATTTCAGGAGTCGTGATCAGCAAGAAGGAGAACAATTGGACAACTTCAGCGGCTGTCAGCTACAACTTGCACCTCGCTTCAGGAGTGGGCTACGTTAAAGAACTACCAACGTATCTGGAATATGACCAAGTGGGCCTATCGCACTTGCTCTCTCTCTCTCTCTCTCTCTCTCTCTCTCTCTCTCTCTCTCTCTTTCGCCCTCCCTCTCTCCAGTTCGCCTCGCCCGAAATTTTGCATTTTAAGGTCTCCGCCAGCCGTGCGCTCTTCATTTTCTGCCAATTTTTATGGCTAACCACCCCTCTTGCCGCTCTTTTCGGCAGTATTATCGGAATCTTTCGAGGAATTGCCATTGGAATCGACTATATCGTAAGAAAAAAAAAACAATTTTAAAATCAAGATTTTGCTTCTAGGAAGACGCCGGAGAGTTGCAACGCTATCGCGAGAAAGAGTGCAACCGAACTGCTCCGAGAACCCGAGCGCTGTACCACAACTGAGGCTTGAAGACGACAAATTTTGAACGGGATTTGGGGTCTAATCTTGGGTGAATCTGTGGGCAAGTGTAAATAATCAGGTTGTTATGTCAAATTTTCGAAGAATGACGTGTCGTTTTAAGTTTGTGTATGTTTTACGTTACGCTACGTTAGATTTTAGGGCGTATTGTTTCGTAGCATAGCATGTCGTGTCAGGATCGTAAAGCAACAGGCGTCGCGCATCATAGCGTAGCTTTTTTTAACGTATCCTGGCTTTGAGGAGCGTATATTTACAGACGATAATCTTGTAGCGTAGTCCATGGTAGCATATGATTGCATATCGAATAGGAAGGCAATGCTGCGTTGCGTAGCGTATCACGTCGTAGCGTATCGTCAGGCCAGCTGCGTAGCTCAAATCATCGTATCAGTACGTACGGTTACATTGCACGGCGTTCTCTTGTGCTGCGTACGCAGCGTAGTTTTCTAAGCGTTTTACATAGCGTGTGCCGTACTGTAGCTTAGCGTTTCGTCATCATGCGTATCTAAGCGTAGCGTTGCGCAAAAGACTTCACGTAAAAATCAACAGATTTATGCATATGTACAGAAAGGCTTGGTTGAGCACGCAGATCATCGTCGTAAGTAGGGGGGTAAGGGGTCGGTAAGTGAATTTGCCAATTTGCAGGAAGGTGAGGGGAAAGAGGTCAAAATCAGGATCAAGTTAATCACAGAGACATTGTAATCACAAAAATTATAATGAGGTGTATTCAAAAAGAATCATATTTTTGGTATCATATTATTACTCGTGTGCCTCCGTCGTCTCTTCTACCCGAGCTATCACAGGCTGTGGCTCGCCGACGACTTGCCCGTTTGAGATTTCGATTAATCTGAAAACTATTGATTAATTTGGCGTTTTAAAGGACCATTGAAGGGCCGATAAATAGGCAAAAAAGCCTCTAATCTTCCAAGACTAAGACAGGGTCGCAGAGAGAGCGAGCGAAAGAGAGGGAGAAAGACGGAGAGAGAGAGAGAGAGAGAGAGAGAGAGAGAGAGAGAGAGAGGGAGAGAGAGCTAGATAAAACTGAGCTACCCACCGATCATATGACCCGGCCGCCGGCGCCTTATGCGTAATCGTGATAACCGTAGCTTTGTGGAACCATGTGGAAATTACCCGTTCGAGGTTCGCCTGAAAATATGGAGATTTTTGCTGTTTATCAGGATCAAGAAAATCAAAGAGTATTCAGCTTTTAAGCCCTACCATAACGGCCGGATCGGCCGAGGCGAACGGTTCGTCTAATAGCAAGCAGCCTTCAAATTTGTCGCCGCCCTTTAGAAGGGAGCGGCAAACACCGAGGAGTTGACGTTGGCCGTAGCTTAAAAATTGAAATTAGCTTTGTCAAGATATCGCGTTATCTCTCCCTATATCGCGCGCGCGCTCTCTCTCTCTCTCTCTCTCTCTCTCTCTCTCTCTCTCTATCTCTCCCTCTCTCTCTGTCTCTCACGCTCTAATTCTCTCTCTGTCTCTCTCGTTCTCTCTCTGTCTCTCTCTCTGTCTCTCTTTCTCTCTCGATCTCTCTCTCTCCCTCTCCCTCTCCCTCTCCCTCCTGTCTCACACTCTCTCACACCCTCTCTCTCTCTCGCTCTCTCTCTTTCTCTCACCTCATCGCCTCCATATTTATCCTCTCCTCCAGCCCATCCTTCCACGCGACGAGCGGCTTCAGCCCGGCCCTATCCAACACCTCCCACAGCTCAGCATCAGAGTGCGTCTTCTCAGGGTCGATGTTGAAGCGGACAGAGTCGTCGAATATCCGGACCGACTAAACATTTTGATTTTACGGAATCTAATGAAAACTCCAACCTGCGGTACAACAGAAAAGTGCCGCCTCAACTGCTTGATCGAGATCGTGCTCGTTTTGGTGGCGCCGATCTCGATTTCACCGTCCAGTTTTTCAAGCATTCCAAGAAGGGACAAGAAGGTGGAGGATTTTCCTGAAAAGTAGGGCAATCAGCGTCTAACGGATCAGTTTAAAGGAACCGGCTAGATTAAAAATCGACCCCTTTCGTCGGCTAGGTCTCGACAAGTACGTTACGAGTCAAAACTCACCACTTCCGGTCCTTCCAACGATAACAACCCGGCTTCCGGCGGCGATCTTTAAGTTGATGCCATGGAGTACTGGTGAACCGTTCTTTCTAAAAAATATACAAAGATTTGATTTATCTTTAAGACTTTACCTGTAGCTTCCGAAGTACTCCTTCCACTCGAGATCTCCGCTGAGAAGACGCTCCTTGTCCGAGCTTTCGGTGTATTGGTCCTAAAAATCAAAGTTGTGTCGCTGCCTCGCTTTTTGCGTCTATCTATCTCTCGCACTCTCTCTCTCTTTGTCACTCTCTCCATCTCGCTGTCTTTCACTCTCTCTCACTGACCTCTGGCTCCAAGTCCACATATCGCTTAATCCTCTCCACCGCAATCATACTCGTCTCCATCTCAGCAACCATCCGAACCAGGTGACCAAGTTGTTCAGTGATCTAAAATGATTAATTTTCATTTTTTTGCTGAAGTTTTTATACCGTCATCGCAAACGAGATCGATAATCCAGCAGCACCAGTCGTAAGAGTTCCTCGAGAAATTGACCAAACGCAGAGGGCAGATGAGAAGAGGATGATGGAATTTCCGATAAGGTCGAGTCTAAAAATATTTGCTAGTAAGAGAGAGAGCGAGAGAGAGCGAGAGAGAGAGGGAGCAAGAGAGAAAAAGTGAGAGCCAGCTACTTACCGTAGCATCAGCCATCTCTTCAGCGGATTTTCAAGGTAATCACAACGGACGTAATCCTCGACTTGGTCGACGAATTGGGCGGAGAAGCGGTTTTCCTAGAAATATTCTATGTAAATTCTGTCTTTCTAGTTGCTCCCTCTTTCTCTCTCTCTCTCTCTCTCTGTCTCGCTCTCTCTTTCTTACCTGAGAAGCCGATCGTATCACTTCCACTCCTGCCATCCCCTCCGTGGCTTGCGTAATGACAGGCGACCACTGGGAGCGCTCAATTCTGCTCCACTGCTTCATCGTCGGGATGTATTTGTTCTAAAATATTAATTCGCTGATTTTTTTAGATATCCTGAAGGTATCACTAAATAGGTACTCACCTGGAGGTAAATATAGAAAATCGAAATTGGTCCCAGAGCGAGCAGGAAAGCTGGGGTAGTGATGGCAACTACAGCAAGACTGACCGCGATCTGGAAGTAATATGTTGAACCACGCTCTCTCTTTCTCTCTCTCTCTCGCTCTCTCGTTCGCTCTCTCCTAACCCACCTGAATCGTATTCTGGATCAACTGCCGGAAGCAGAGCGGCGTTCGATTATCGTAGATGTTAAAGTCCTAAAAAAATTAAGGTATTTTTTAATAGATGCCATACCCTAGAGGCTCGATTCATCACTTGTCCCACGTCAATCTTCCGGTGCATCGACATCTTCGTGTTGAGGAGTGAAACGGTGAATTGTTTATGGAAGACTTTAGAAGCTCTCTCGGCCATCCAGACCAGGAAAAGGTAGGCGATACCGATGGAAAGGACTGAAAGTTATGTATTAGAGAGTATATTTAAGGTATGACGAGTGTAAAAGTCCGGACGTTACGGCCTAAAGTTTCTTAATCTACCTTCAAGGGTTCCAATTCCAGCAAAAACCATTAATTTCCGCTTGGCGGCTTCTGTTCTGGCTTCCGCCTCAAAGGCACTCTCATCGGCTCGCTCGGCTCGGGTTTTCGAGGAGTCGGACCAGCTGGAAAATCGCGATTTCTTTCTTTCTCTCTCCCCTCTCGCTCTCTGTCTCTCTGTCTCTGTGTCTCTCTCTCTCTCTTTCTCTCTCCCTCTGACTCAGACAAGATGCTAAAAACCCACTTCGACAACCAGAACCCTCTCAATGCGCCCAGAATAAAGTGGATGAGCGTGGCGAAAGTCAGCCCGAAAATGAAGCTCTTCGAGGCGGCCTTCATATACGCTTTGTAAACGGTCCATGGGGCCTAAAAAGCGGCAAATAACGGAAGGTTTTCAGAAAAAAAAAACAGCCAACGAAAGCGTGTCTAAATCAACCTACCGGCCTCGTGTTGTCCTGTTTTGCTTTCTCGTCCTCAAACATGGACTTGGTGCTCGATTTCGTTCCTGTACGCGGCCGTTCTATAAGCCAAAAATGTTTAATTTGTTTCGTAAGATTTACATTGAAATGCCCTAAAAATGAAAATCAACCTCACCCTCAGCCTCATCCTCATCCGTCTGATTTGAACCCGAGTAGGAGATCAGATTGGAGAACACGGGCTGAGCCTCCAACTCCTGATAGGTGCCCTGGACGGCGACTTTGTGCTCTAAAACTCAACTTTTGTAACTTATCGAGTTTAATGAAATACTCTAATACGCTCTAAAAGTGTTCCACTTACCGTACATGACGACAATGTCGTTGGCCGTCTCGGCAAACTCCACCTCACTGGTGGCCAACAGGACTGCGGATTTCCGAAGAATTCCAGTAGGGCCGAGGATCTGCAAAAATTTAATGTGTAAATTAAAGCGTTAAAAACTTAATTTAGCGTTGCGTGTATTATAATATGGAAGAAGAATTTTGTAAGACTGAAAATATGGTAAAATTTGGATTATAAATTTAGAGAAATCGAAAAATTTGATAATTTGGCATTTTAACTGAAATTAAAAATGATTTTAAAGGGAAAGTGCCTGTAAAAAAAAATAAAAATAATTTAAACTTGTAAACCTACATTTTGCATAACCTTCTGCCCCACTCTTCTGTCCAAGCTGGCAAATACATCGTCGATCAGGTACAAATCAGCTCGTTGGTATAGTGCGCGAGCAAGAGAAACTCGTGCTCGCTGGCCTCCGGATAGGGAATTGCTCTAAAATATTGGGATTACTGGTTTCTTTTGAATATAAAACTTTAAAGTTTCTGAAAAAACTTACCATTCCAGCAATCATCGTCAGGTCGCCCTTGGCCCACTGTTCAATGTCGGTGCCGAGTTCGCAGGCTTCGATCACCTGAAAGTACGCTCTAAAGTTCGGAAAAAATTTGGAAATGTTTTTCATATTACTCTAAACATACTGTAAGTATTTTTACTAGCTTGAAAAATAGAAAAAAAAAACTAAAAAAAGCCCAATCTTTGACTTTCGTAACGACTTTTTGCCAGGGCTTTGGAAAACCTTTCAAAAATGCAATAATTACAAGTACTTAAAAATTAAAAGCTGGGGTTATTAGAGTAAGTAATCAATTACGTAAAATAGTGACACTTACCTTATCGTAATATTTCGGATCATAGGGCAGCCCGAACACGATCGCATCCTTCACGGTGCCTCTCGGCAACCATGGTTTCTGCGGGACGTACGCGATTCGGCCATTCGATTTTATGGCATATTCAGTGGTGTCTTGCCCTAAAAATATTATATTAAAAAGAGCTTTCGACATTATTTTTGCTTTTTCATGCATCAAAATCAGTAAGGGTAAAATTTACACAAAACCCGATTCAAAAGTGTCGATTTTCCGCTGCTGACCGCCCCGACGACCGCGGCGAGGTCACCTTTTTGAAGGGAAATCGCGACGGGATGACTGTTGGTCTTGGAAGAGACCTAGAAAAGTTAAAATTTTAATTTTATTACGATTTACGAGATCAATTTCCAGAAACGATAAGTTTAGTCAAATTTACCTGCAGAATAGGCGCATTATCGTCAACCTCGACGTTCTTTTCTTCGCTCCCTCGCTCATCAGCCATCAAGTACGCCTTGAGACGCTTGTTGGCTACCAGGGCCTAATTTGAATTTTCCTAGTCTTTCTAGGCAATTTTACCTGCATAAAACCATTCAAGAACATGGCAATAATTCGGGCGGGTTGGCGGAGTTTGTTGAAAATAGCGAGTGAGACGAACGCCTTCGTGGGAGAGAGGTCGGAATCGACAAAGTAGACGTAGGCTCCAAAAGTTGTTACTGCTACCTGGAAAGTAATTTTTAGACGAGAGAGGAGGGAGAGAGGGAGAGAAAGAGAGAGAGTTAGAGAGAGTTAGAGAAAGTACGAAACTCACCAAAACTGGCAGCGCCATATTCGCAGCATCCACAGCTCGTGCGATGTAACTAGCATTCTTCAACATTCTCACTTCCTTATTTCTCGACTCCTCAATCCTGGCCGAAAACGCGTCTTCCCAGACGTGGCTTTTCACCGTTTCGATGCCGCTTACTGTCTAGAAAAAGGTATACTGTATAGGGAAACATACACTCATAAGCTTATTCATGTCTCAACGCCCAACACGAGATAAAATTTAAAAAGAGATAAAGATGGAGAAACGGTTTAGTTTGTACCGTACCTCCTCCAACTGCTTCAATCGCACATCACTAGCGGTCATTTTCTTCTTGTGGAACTTTTTCATGTACACCGAGGTATAGTAGTTGAACGGGACGTAGAGGAGGATGACAAAAATCCCGGGTACTGCCGAGATGCCGATTGTGCGGATGAGGAGGATGGTGGCGAAAACGAGCTATAAAAATACGTTCGGCGTTAAGTAGTTAAACCCAGGTTTCCAGTTATATCCGGTTACGACAGCAAATGATTTTCTATGATTTTTGAAGTTCTTTAGCAGCTTAATCGATTACACTATGAAACTGCGCCTGGGGTACCGGAGAGCTTTCAGTATGATAAAAAAAAATCGTAAAATGTATAAGCTTTCGATACCTGCAGTGGTGCAGCCCAAAAGTGATGTACAAACGGAATAACATGGCATAATCGTTCGATATCCACCGACATCAGGTTGACAATAGCGCCGACGGGGAATTTTTGTTGAGAGGCTGGTGTTAGTTTTGTGCCCTAAAAATTATCATAATACTGATTTTCTGGTAAAATCTATGGATTTTCCGACTTGCCACTGCCTTTAAAATCGAACCCTAGTCATCAAATACTTCTATTTACCTTCTCGTAAATATGCCGAATCATGGCGCACTTGATGCGCGTCTCGACCTTCAACATTCGGAAGAGAAGAATGGCCATGAAGAAGCTCCTTAACTCGGCCATCAAGAACATCGACACGGAGACGATCAGACACCATTGCACGTCGATCACCGGGGCGCCGAAGGCTTGGAGCAGTTCACTGAAACGAGCACAACTTCATGAAGTATGCATATTCTTTTTGTGTTTCTTTGAATATACTTCTTATGTCGTGTTAGCCAGTTTTCACACAAAAATAAGCTACTCTGATTTTTGTGGTATTCGCTACATTTGTGGTTTGTTCCCCACCCGCGCATCCGGTCCAGCCCCAAAAGGCTTATCATTTGAGTCGCGAAACAGTGGCCAGACCTCCGGGGGGAGAACCTATGCTTTTTGCGTAGGATTTATCACGCTCCAGGGCCGAGACGGTCAGGCCAGGAAAATGATTGACCGCCATTGTTTTTGCGAATTTTCGAGGGGCCATTGCAACATTCGATGATGAGGAAAGAGAGAGAGAGAGAGAGAGAGAGAGAGAGAGAGAGATAGAGAGAGAGAGAGGGAGAGAGAGAGAGAAAAGGACTCACGTTAGCAACAACGGTTGCACATACTGGAAAACGTCCGCCAGACTCCGGATCAAAAACAGTATCACCCACTCCCATTTGGCGAAATTGAAAAACACCCAAAAGGTTTTCGGCGTCGTTTTCTTGGCTTGGGCTTCTGAAATTGTATTGTATAAAGAAGGAAAGGCTGGGTAGTGTCCCTATCGGAACTCAAAACGGCTAGAAAAATTCAAATTAGGTAGATAACTGGCCAAGAACACTAAAATCTGAGGTATCTGTTGAACTAGATAGATTTCGCCGGAAACGAGCAAAAAATCAATTAAATCTTTTTTAAATCGGTGAGAGCTGGAAAATGGCAAAAATATAGCATACTTAAATTACATGTCGCAACAATCCATAATTTTCTGTCATTTTCTACATTTCCTTTAATAGCATTAAAAAATGGCCATTCTGTTTAGAAAGCAGTTTTCACTTCAAAATAAAAACGTGACCATAGAAAATTCGTAAAATTCCCTAGAAAAAACGAAAAAGGTTAAAAACTGACTATCGCACTGTTCGCCCCACGCCTTCTTCCAAATCTCATACACGTCTTCATTTTTAAATTCGGGCAACAACGGATACACTGCATCCTTGTCGAGCTCATTTTTCTGGGCGGCCGAAAAAATGGGGCCTAGCCAGCAGAAGAGGATTCTTGATAAAATGCCAGCGTGCAGTTCGGGTGAGTCTTTCTGAAAAAGCCATTGTATGAATTAATATTAAATATTTATATGAATTAATATTAAATTCTGGTTATAATTTTTGTAGTCTGTAGCCTATAGTCTATAGTTTGCTTTCAAAAACGCAAATTCGTACGTGAAAAACCTTTTTCTTCTTCTCATCCAGGAGACGTTGGCCATCCATAGAAAGTTTTGGGCCCGCAGGGCGAGGGCGGCCAAGAAAAGGGGCGGGGCTAAGGAAAAAGCGGAATATGCAAAAGTAAATCTTGTAAAATTTAATAGAGAGAGAGCGCGAGAGAGATACAAAGAGAAAGAGATAGAAAGACAGAGAGAGAGAGAGAGAGAGAGAGAGAGAGATAGAGAGAGAGAGAGAGAGAGAGTGAGAGAGAGACGGCCAGAGCGAGATATCTAACAAAAGATATCTCTGTTAATATACTTTTTTTAAGTAAGTTGCTAAACAAAAAACGTGTCCCGGAACCTTCAAAAACCTTTATCAAGTCTGCCCTTGCTGAAGAAGCCAAAAACTGAGGGCTATCAGATGGCCACACTCCGCTGGAAACAGCGCAAAGTGCGACCAGTGGCAAATAGTGGAATAGCGGATTGTTATTGGCAGTACAAGCCAAGAGCTGCGAAGAGTTTTTGATTACTTTTTGAAGACAAGAAGAAAAGTGGGATTAATGAAATCGCTATTAATAGAAAATGGAAAGTCTACTACGAATGGCTGATCGCAAAATTCGTAGTGTAAATTCCGGCGACGCCTAATCTGCATGGAAAATGGAACCGAATCTATGGCTTCTGGCTACGGGAGCAGGAAAGGAATGAAAAACTCGCAAAATTAAGAGTAAGAATTTACGAATTTTTAATCAAATATTCTATTATTAACGTTTTTAGCATTAGCATTTTAGCATAGCAGACTTCCAAGAATTTTAAACCTCGATTGAAGCTCTAGCAAGGAAAATTCGAAAGTATCCTTTTAAGAATCGCCGAGAGGAAAGTCACGTTAATTTGCATACAAAAAATTGAATAACAGTCCATCTTACAGCTGATTCGTTTGTTATCTTAAAATTCTTTTTGAAGCAAAATCTAATTAGCCGAAAATTGACGAAATTTGAAAATTTGAAAACGAAAGTTTAGAGCTAAACTAAAAAATGTGTATGTTGGCAGAATTCAATACAAATGTGATCCTGATCGAAAAAAAACAGCAAAAAATCAAAGCTCAAAAGAACAATTCGTCCCGAAAAATTGTACCCTCGACCTGGCGAGAAAAGAAAGGGGATGGGTAGGAGGTGTCAATCCAGGGGCGATAACAGCCTTGAGATCTCTCTCTCTCTCTCTCTCTCTCTCTCTCTCTCTCTCTCTCTCTCTCTCTCTCGCTCTCTCTCTCCCCAACTACCAAGGGGTGATAATCCCAAAATTTTCTCAGCCCAGCCGTATGAAAAAAACCGGGGGGATAAATGACGAGTAGCGTACACACGGGTTATCATCATCGTCCCAATCAGGGATCTTTGGAGCCGTTTTGTTTCCGTTGGTCACACTTTCGCATAGTTCAGCGTTAAAAGGCCAAGAAGACTTTTTTATAGTTAAAATTGAATTGTTATTTCCGCGCCATCTAGTAGCCTAACTTTTTTCAAGGAGAACACTTAAAATTTACTTTAAAATATTTGAAATTTTTTACGTTTAGGAATAGTAAAAAAAGCTTTGGAAAAATTACCTTTCACGAAACTAGTAAAATAATAACTAATAAAATAAAAAAAAATAAACTCGAATAAGAGTGAAACCTTTGAGCGCAAAACAAATGGCAAAAATATTTTTATTTTTAATTTTGAAGCTTGCAAAGTCCAAATTTTTGGATTGTTAGGAGGTGAAAATCGTAAAATACCATAATCTAAGAACCAATATTATGGTACAAACTATAAAACCCCAAAAAAGCCGATCCTGCAAAACTCGTGGCCTTTTGTGCCGGGTGGCCAGGGCTGGGGCTTTTTTGCTTCAAGCGGACCGGGAAATTCATAAATCCGCGGGATTGGCCGAGCCCCGGGATTGATCGCACCCCGAAATGGACGCATGCATGTACGGACCGGCATTCAGAGGGACAGACATACGAACCGCGAGACAGACAGAGAAACGGACCGGGAAAAGCCGAGAATTGGACGACTGCGCTGGTGAGAGAATCCCTATGGGGGGGCAAATAAAAATGGCCACATTGAACGGGGGAAGAGGGGGGAGGCCTTTACTTTTGAGCCAACAGCGATGGTTGGGTCAGATTTCGTACTTTTTGCTCAAATAGATCCTACTTTTGCCTAGAAGAATAGATGACCATCCACAAAAATGTTTACTTTGATTCCTAATGGTGCCATAGAAAACGAATTTATTTTAGATTCAATTTGATGTTCATTTTTAGTGTGCGTCTGCGCTTCGGAAAAATGAAAAAGTACTGTAACAGGCGGCGAGCTATTTCCGTAAAAATTTTTGCAAGGAACCTCGATTTCCGGAAGGCCAGTATGAGCCAAAATGGCTTTTTCGCTCCGGTAACGCGAAGAAATCGAGAAAAATGGATAATGCGGCCATTTTCGGGCCCGCCTAATTGCTTAAGGCGGCCAGGATTGGAACTAGATGCTGCAAAACGGTTCCTAAAAGTTATCGAGAACTTGTACGTAACCGCTGAGACTTGTTATTTGCGTAGTACTAAAAAGCACTTGGTGATGCAACGTAGGAGGGGGGCAGCAGGTGCAGATACCCCGTAAATAGGCACCTGTGGAAGGTCCCTGGTCCGCAACAGAGATAGACCCTAATTAACCTGCCGGGTAAGACCTACTACGCGTAATGGAGAGTGAATAACAAAGATGCGGAAAAATCAGGGAGATAAAAAGTGGAAGCTAGGGCTAAAATCAAAAAACAAGCAATACGAAAAAAAGGACGGGAATGACCCAAATACAGCGCCGAAACTTTTGGAATTATCGATAGTTAAGAGTTAAGAGGGATTTCCTGGAATAGCGTCAGTCCAAGACCGAGAGAGAGAGAGAGAGAGAGAGAGAGGGCGAGAGAAAGAAAAAGAGAGAGAGAGAGGAGAGAGAGTGAGAGAGAAAATCAAAATGCCTACACCCAGAGGGGGGGGGGGGGCTTGTTTGGTTTATGGGATTGAATTTCCGGGAAAATACTCAGAAAAACGAAAGCCGCATTAATTTTGATTTAATCCCCAAGACGCATAAAACGAACTTTTTGGGTAAAATAGCTGCAACTGCTTAAAATGTTATTTTCTGAAATAAAAAATAAGGAGCCAAATCCCGAAAAACAAACACTGCCCTAATTTGGTAAGCCGCTTTTTTTTAATTAATCGGAGTGGATCTTACTCTTAAAAATGCTGACCTTTTAAGCTTAAATCCGGGCCGGAATAGAGATATTAAAAATTGGCTTGGAAAAAATCAATAAAACATCCTAGCAAAAAAGCGGAAAGCGGTCTGAAGTGAGAGGGTTTATAAATTTTTCGGTGCAGCCTTGGGGAAACCCCCCGTAGGGCAAAGAGGTCCACAGCCATACAGTGGCGGTCAAAAGTTTATAAAATTTCTTATTTTGGCCATTGCTCGGCACTCGTTTGTAACAGAAACCTAATATTTGGCACACATGTGCATAAAGTGATGCAGAATACGACGGCATAACTTTTTTTATTATAAAAACGCACACAAATTTTTTTTTAGAAGTTTTACGAAGAAGGCGGCGTCATAAGTTTATAAAATTTTGTTCGAGGCGTCAAATATAGACTAGATCGGCCTTCCCAAGGATGAGAAAGGTTTTTAAATGTTAGATTTAGACTCTGGCTACAGTTTCCCGTTGCATATTTGACTCCAAACTTTCTAGACAATGTTTTCTAAAACACTTTTTTAGTATGAAAATTGCACTTTTTCGGCTCCACCGGACGGTATCGTTCCGTACGCATGAATACAACAATACGGTCGGAAAGCGCAGTTAAAGAGGAGCATTTTGGTATAGCATTCATTGCACGATATTGTGAACGGAAGAAGATATAGATGGTTGAAGACCGGGCCTCGCCAATTTCGGCTGTCCGGACAGGCCCGGGCTTCCGATTACTATGATGCCCGCTTGCCGCTAGCTTCGACCGTCCAGTATTCGATGAAGGACCGGTTACATGTGATGCTTTATACACCAAAATGCTCCTCTTTAAATGCGCTTTCCGGGCGTATAATTGTATACGGTACGCTGGAGCCGAAAAAGTGCAATTTCCATACTAAAATAGTGTTTTAGAAAAAATTATTTAAAAAGTTCCAGGTAAAATCTGCCACGGGAAACTATAGCCGGTGTGAAAAGTTAATATTTACAAACTATGGTCATCCTTGGGAATCCCGATCTCGTCTATATTTGAGTGCACGGGAAACTATAGCCGGTGTGAAAAGTTAATATTTACAAACTATGGTCATCCTTGGGAATCCCGATCTCGTCTATATTTGAGTCCTTTACCAAGATTTTATAAACTTTTGACTCGGCCCTTTTCGTAAAAATTTCCAATCTTTTTTCGTGGACGCTTTTATAGTAAAAAGAGTATTGTCGTTCTATTCTGCATCATTTTATGCACAAGTGTGCCAAATATTAAGCTTCTGATGCAAACGAATGCCGAGCTATGGTCAAAACACGAAATTTTGTAAACTTTTGACCGCCACTGTAGAAGCCGGCTGTCAATATGTGTGAGTGTATTCTTGTGTCTGTCCGTTTCGCTGTCTATCCTTCGGTCTTCCACGTCTCCTTATGTTTGCCGTGCGACTATGGGCATTGGATATTTTAGCCCAGACGCCCCAGGGGCGGGCCATGATCAACGAAACACAAGCCGAACCCTCGACCACGTCCTGCGCGTTTTGTTTCTCTCCCTCTCTCCTCTCTCTCTCTCTCTCTCTCTCTCTCTCCCTCTCTCTCACGCTACCGTAGCTGCGAACATCCGGAAGTTTTTCGCTGGATGCCGTTAGGAAAGAAAAGACGCGCCGGTTTTCATAAATTCAAACGTGCATGCCGCCGGATTCTTTTAAAATCCCAATTTTAAAAGACTTTGGGTTCAAAAAGAAGCCAGCAAGGACTGGGGCACATCCTCTGTACTTCGACTCGAAGGATCTTCTTGGAATCCACTAGCAAGGGTTCACGTTTTGCACGTCTCGGTCAATTCCAGATGCCGCCTGCTAG